TATCATGCGAGGGTAGCCGAAAAGCTTGACACCATCGATGGCAGAAACGAATGTGTAGAAAGAACATGGCAGAACCTTAGGGATGGAATGGTAAGTGCAGCGGAAGAAGTGTGTGGGACAATAAAAAGAAGCAGTAGTAAAAGAAGAGATGCATGGTGGAATGATGAAGTGAAAGAAGCTGTAAAGAAGAAGAAGAAAGCATGGTTAGACTACTTGGCCTCTAGTAATGATAAGGATATGAGAGAGAAGATGAAAGAAAGATATAAGCTGCAGAAAGTTCACACGAAAGCATTGATTGAGGAAGTGCGTGAAAGGTGTAGAATGGAAGCGGATGAAAGGTTGTCGCACAACTTTAAGGAGAACTCCAAACTCTTCTGGAAAGAGGTTGGAAGGACCCGAAGTGGTGCGACGGCCTTAAGAATGAACAAAGTGCTTTCGAGAACTAATGACGTCCTCTCAGAAAAATCGGACGTCATGCAGCGATGGAGCGAATTTTATAGAGAAATGTATGCGTGTGATGATCTTAGTGAGGGATCCGGGGATGACGCCGTGACTGGCACGCCAGACCCGGACCTCGATGACACTGAGGTCATCAGTATGAAAGAGATTGAACGTGCGATTCGAAGTTTGAAATGTGGTAAGGCTGCGGGACTAGACAGAGTTACTGCTGAAATGGTCAAGTATGGTGGGCCTCGCGTCTGGGACAGCTTTCATCTGCTGTGCAATTTGTGCTGGCGGACGGGGGATGTCCCGGATGATTGGCGATCCGCAGTCATTGTGCCCTTATATAAAGGTAAAGGTTCACATTTTGACTGCGGGTGCTATCGGGCGATCAGCTTGACCAGTTTAGCAAGTAAAGTTTACTCGAAGGTTTTGACACGTAGGATGCAAGAGAAATCGGAAAGATTTCTATGGGAGGCACAATGCGGATTTAGACCTGGAAGAGGATGCACGGATCAAATGTTTTCTCTCCGTATGATCACGGAAAAGCTTCTGGCTGTTAACCAGAAGATTTTCTGTGCTTTTGTGGATCTTGAGAAAGCATTTGATAAGGTTGTAAGAAAGAAAATGTGGGAACTGTTGCCGGGGTATGGTGTGGATGGCCGATTGCTAAGGGCTGTGCAGTCTCTTTACTGTGACTGTAAAGCCTGTGTGCGGGTAGGGCATGACCTGTCACCCATGTTTAGCGTCCAAACGGGCGTAAAACAGGGTTGTGTCATGTCTTCCTGGCTGTTCATACTGTATCTCGACAGCTGTTTACAAAAGCTGAAAGATAGCTGTTTGGGTGTGAAATTGGGTGACATAAAAGTAAATTGTCTGCTGTATGCTGATGATGCAGTGCTTATTGCACCATCAGAGGCAGAACTGCAGGCATTAGTCACGTGTATGAAAGAGGAATGTGAAATTAAAGGTCTCCGTTTGAATGCTAATAAAACTAAGGTTCTGGTATTTGAAAGGGACGAAGAGAGAACGAAGTGTGAAATATGGGTAAATCAGGAATGTCTAGAACAGGTAAATGAAATTGTATACTTGGGGAGTGCTTTTAGCCGGGATGGAAGATGTGATTTAGATGTGGACAGGCGTGTCGCTGCCGGGAACAAAGTCAATGGTGCCCTGACTGCGTTAGTCAAAAGGCAAGGCGTAGCGAAGAGTGCACGCCTTGCAATACATAACGCAGTGTTGGTACCGACTTTGTTATATGGCAGCGAAACCTGGGTATGCCAGAAGAAGCATAAAAGTAAGTTGAATGCAGTGGAGATGCGATCTCTTCGTAAAATGTGCGGCGTTACTATGGCCGACCGAAAGCGAAACGAAGAGATTCGCAATATGGCAGGTTTGAAAGATGACCTTATCACAAAAATTGATAAGGGCGTGCTTCGGTGGTTTGGGCACGTTGAGCGAATGAGTGAAGACCGAATGGTGAAGAAAATATATAGCGCGAAAGTTAATATTAAAAGGTGTCGAGGTAGACCGAGACTAACTTTCGAAGACCATGTGAGCAAATTGCTCGAAGAGGGTAGGGTCAAGAGTACTCGTATACCTAGACGTGCATGTATGAAGAAGATAATGAATCTGAAAGAGGCGAAAGAGATATGTAAGGATCGTGACACTTGGCGATCTGTTCTTTCTGGCTACCCCGTCAGGGATTGTGCGTGAAGATAAGAAGAAGAATGTATTAAATAATTTTTGATATGTAAGTTTATGTATGGGTATATTATATATATACTTTAATTTATATTTATATACTTTAATTTATATTTTTGTCTTTTAGCGTTTCACACACCTAGTATTACGGCTTGAATGTTTCACAATGTGTTTCATGGGTGGTTTTGGGAATCAGAGAACAACCAGACCAAGGGCTGGCTAACTCGAATGATCCCAACCAGGAAGTAAACGAAAATAGCTTTAGAACTGGGTAGATAAGGCAAGGATACTCACAAGACTGGAGCACTCCTCGTGGTTGGTGAAGTCTAAATATTTAGGCTGAAGTTCTCGTGTATACACAGACACCACACTGTACTTCGAATGTTTATTGACAATTGCACGATAGTCTTACAACTTATTTATTAAGTATTTTTAAACGAGCGGTAAAACAACACGTTTTATGCGAGCGCGGCCATCTTGCTTCTTCTTTTTCTTGACGATAGATGGCGCACCATTTTGAGTAGTGCGTATATGGGGGAGGCGGGAGGATAGGAAATACTTAGGAAAAGGATATTATATCGGGACTGTTCCGAAGCCACAACATTCCCTCCCATCTGAAATCACCTAGGGATTTCACAAGACAACCATCGACCCGGCAGCTCTCCACGTCCCCAGTTGCTCATAGAATATAAATTAATATAAACTTAATAGATATCTGAGCTAAGTTGTGCATTGATAACCTTAACTAAACTACAAAAGAAAATCAAACTTAGTTAATTTAATTTTAAAATTAGAACTTACAATCTAGCTTAATAAAACAATAAAATAAGATTCATTCAAGAGGAAGAGGGCAGACTTTGATTACTGGTCTTGTAAGTAAGCCTCTTTTAGTCTTTAAGGTCACAACCCGGAGAATATTGTCCTTTCCGGGGTGGATTTGGACTTCTCGACCTAGGCGCCATTCGTTAGGTGGTAGATATGGTTCAATGATTGAAACGAGTTGACCAATATTAGGATGTTTGTGATTATCCTTAAATGTAGGTAGGCGTATTTTGCCAAATTCGCCAAAAACTTAGAGAGCTTTTGAAGTAACTGCCAGAGTGTTCTAGGATTCATATCTTCAACTACATTATATTCGTAATACAATTCCATTTAAAATTCGTTTAAGCCTTTATAATGCTTTAGTGGAATCGATAGTGTCATATGGTATTAGTAGCTATGGTCGAACTTTCCGCACTTATCTAGATAAAATATACAGCTTACAAATAAGACTGTTAAAATCTATTTTGCCTCAACATATCAAGGATAAATATCGCAATGACTACTCATACCTTTTCACGTACTGCAATGTTTTACCCATACATAAAAAGGTGAAATATATGCTTCTGAAAGAATGTTATGAGTACTCAATAGACCCAACTCCAAGAGATCGCAATTATAACACCAGAAATACAACACCTTATTCACTAATTAGAACGAATAATTACTACGGTAAAAGAACACGTAAATATCTAATACCATACCTGTTAAATTCTTTACCTACAGAATTAAGAAGCCAACTAACAGCACAAAACATAAAAACAAAACTTAAACGTTTTTTATATAATTAGAATTCTTCAAAAAAAAAAATTAAATAATAATCATGATAATCTATATTTATCTATGCAAATATATTGCCAAAAACGGACAAATAAACAAAACGTGTAACCAGAGAAAAAAAAAAAAAACTAGTCCTTAAAAATGCATTCCGTGTGTACTCGCGTCATTAATTTGCAGTATAGTGTATAAGCGAGTCGAGCAATCGAAGACAATAATATTCACATTCTTGCTTATTTCTTGTAAACAATATCAAAAACTACCCTCTCCATTAAAAAAAAATAGTTTTAGAAATATCTAATATAAAGTTTGTATAAAATTATGTAAGTACAAAAAACGCTTAATATTCTCTCACACAATTGTAATATGGTATTTTATATTTAGGTTAAGTAAAGGTTAAGTTCAATATTATGTAAAATAAAGTATAATGTATAACATATTAGAGCAAACTGTGCAGTGCCAAGACAAACACAATTGTGTTTAATGGCACGAAGAAATTATATGGTATTTAAAACTGTTACATTGTTGAAATAAATTAAAAAAAAAACAGACGGTTCTGGTTGAGCGACTAAAGGACGTCCTATAATAAAATGACCGGCCGTGAGAACATCAACCTCGCAAGGATCAGACGATAACTGACAAATCGGTCTTGAGTTCAGCATCGCTTCAACTTTAGTTAAAACTGTAGTTAGTTCTTCAAACGTCAGGACTCACATAGGCTCACAAGCCTATGACCCTCTTGAGATAATATTTAGTAGATTTTATACCACTTTCAAAATTGCCACCAAAGTGAGGTGCTGAAGGTGGATTTAGTTTCCACGAGATTCCACGAGACGTTAATTTATCAGAAATATCCTGTTTTTTATCTATCAATAATTTAACCATTTCCTCAAGATATCGTTTAGCGCCTACAAAGTTAGTGCCACAATCTTTAACAGTGGTAGAGCCACGCGGCAGCTTTTGCTGTCTCACGGATGGGCTGGCTCGAACCGGGGTAGTACCACGACCTCACAGAAGACCAGCGTGAAGTAGAGGTTTACCTCTGCGTTTCGCTTGGTGAGTGCAGGTGGCCGGAGGCCCTTTTTACTGGAAATGACGCATTCCATCTTAGTCCTCACGGGTGACAACGCATCTACATTTTGATTTGTAACAGAGGATAGATGTAGATGTCTATGGCTGCGGCCCATAGACATCTACATCTATCCTCTGTTACAACCGGAGATCCTTTTTAGTGAAAACGAGGCATTCCATCTTAGCCCTTACGGGTGACATTGCATCTGCATATTGTATCGTAATCGAGGATAGATGTAGATGTCTATGAACCACAGCAACCACTTACCATCAGGTGGACTGTGTGCTCGTTTGTCACCCTTTCCTATAAAAAAAAAATCTGTCACAATATGTTGACGTGTTCCACGTCGAGACACGAATCTGTCTAGGGCGGCTAGAAACGCTTCTGTAGACAGTTTAGATACGAGTTCTAAATGAACTGCTTTTACAGATAAACAAATGAACAAGCATATGGTATGGTAAGCCTTACTGACCCGTGCGTTACGTCGTCTGTTTTCTTTTATAAGAAAAGGACCGCCAAAATCGATCCCTACCTGTTGAAAACAGTAATCTTGTTGAGATCTACAAGGTGGCAAGTTGCCCATAGATGGCTGATAGGGTACAGGTTTAACCCAAAAGCAAGTCACACACTTTGTTAAAATAGAACGAATAAGATTCCTAATTACTAAAATCCAGAACTTGCGAACAATTAGTGATTGTAACGTGCGAGGTCCACAGTGCAAATACCGTTTATGATAATAGCTAATAATTAATTGCGATAAAATAGATTGTTTCGGTAACAAATATGGATGTTTTGTGTGCTCATGTAAGTTGAAATTAGTAAGTCATCCACCCACTCGCATGAGTCCTAGGTTATCAATAAATGGAGACAACTTTTGTAAGTATTTAGGTAGACGCTTCTGCGACTTTAATTTAGACATCTCTTGATTGAAGCTGCCCCATTGGACATATTTAATAAGGCTAAGCTGAGAGCACTTTACCTTATTCGTAGTCAAGTGACCTTTCTCGCGTTGGCTTTGTTCTTTGCGCGAATTAGAAATGAAGTGAAAGACCCATGCCAGTACTTGCTGTAGTCACGATAAGGATGAATACCGATTTAATAACACCTTCATAATGTCTTTATCAGATTCCCGAGATTGAGCAATCGGAGTGCGTGTCCTCAACTCTGGCAACTCATCCTGGGGCTTACACTGACTTTGAGCTAGCCAGTGATCTGGACCACTAAGCATCCAATCTGGTCCCGACCACCATCGCTTACAATTGACCAATTCTGCACACGAAAAACCTCGGCTAGGAAAGTCAGCAGAATTGTCCTGAGTCGAGACATGCCTCCAGGTAGAAGGTTCAACTGCGTCAGTTATTTCAACTATTTGATGCGCAACAAAAGGTTTCAATTTGTATGGCTCGGTATTGATCCAAGCTAATACAGTTGAGCTATCAGTGTAGGCAACAATATGTGATATATTTATTTTCGAAATAAGTAAAGTTTGCATCTGTTTGAGAGTACGTGATAACAAGAGCGCACCGCACAACTCCAAACGATTAACTGTTAAAAGCTTAATCGGAGCCACTTTAGACTTAGAAATCAAAATAGAAACTTGTTTATGATCATCGATACTTGATCGGAGAGACAGAACCCATATTTTTTGGTTGATCCATCGCAAAACCCAATCAGCTGGTGTGTAGCTGCTAAGTCAATCACTGTTTTACGAGGGATTTTTATCGATTTTATATTAGACAAGTCAGACAAAAATGAAACCCAATCGTCATACAGATTGGCGGAAATGATTTCATCCCAAGACAATCCAATACGCGATAAGTTTTGAAGAAGTAGGTTGGCTAAAAAAAATAAAGGTGAAAGCCAACCCATGGGATCATAAATACGAGCTACGTGGTACAGAATTGAACGTTTCGTAAACTCCACATTCACAGGAGAAGCGGAGTAAGTGAAATAGTCTTCCGCAGGATCCCATTGAACTCCCAAAACCTTAAACGTTATTGAACTATCATCAGAAAATGTCTTCGGACTCTGACAATGTTCCATGGCTGTTACTGCTCCATTTACGCAAGTCTAGCTGAGCATAATTAAGTAGATTGATTAAATCTTCTTTAAGCTGAGAGGCTGCTTCCATTGAGGAAGCACCTGTAGTAATATCGTCTATATAAGTATGATGCCGAAGAGCTTCAGCAGCATGAGGAAACTGATCACCCTGATCTGCAGCTAACTGATGTAATGTTCGTATCGCTAAGTACGGCGAGCTTTTGACTCCGTATGTGACCGTACGAAGTTCAAATTCTTGAACAGGCAAGGAAGGGGATTCACGCCATAGTATGTGTTGCCACCCTCGATCCTCAGGCCTTATCAAGATTTGCCTGTAAATCTTAGATATGTCACATGTAAACACTATATTATGGACCTGAAATCCAGTAATAATGTCAACCAAATCAGCCTGTAACTTCGGTCCAGTGTAAACAATATCATTTAAAGATAGTCCATTTGTCGTCTTATGACTCGCATTGAAAACAACGCAAAGTTTGGTCGTTATGCTTTCTGGACGAATCACACAATGGTGAGGAATGAAATATCTACCAGGTGTAATATCCTTTCCCACTGGTTGCATATGATTAAGCTGCTCATAATCACGCATAAAATCGTGATAGAGTGATTTAAGTTCTGGTTGTCGGCAAAGTTTTTTCTCAAGATTTATAAACTGCGACAAAGAACTATTATATGAGCCTCCCATATAGACAGACGACTGCTTCAATAAGATAGGTACTACATATCCACCGTCCAATTCCCTATAAGTTTGAGTGGAATACAGGCGTTCGACCTCCTCATCTTCTGGAGCAGGTATATGTTGATGAGGCGGTTCCTCGACTTCCCAAAATCGTTTCATCATTTTCTCCAGTGAATTGGTTGAAGTAATTAATGAAGTGCCAACCGATTTTACCGAACTTTCCACATTGGTGGGTCCTGAGAGAACCCAACCAAAGACGCTATGTAAAGCAGCAGGATAGCCGGGCTCTGGGTGATTGACACGGCCGCCATAGATGTGAAGAAATACTTCAGCACCTAGCAATAAATCAACATCAGACGGTTTGTCAAAGTCACGGTCCGCTAATACTAATTGTTTATAACAGTCTCGAACTGCTAGAGGAATATCAGTGGTTGGCATTTTAGAAGTAATGCTATCGATGACTATAGGATTAATATCAAATTGCGGGTCATTCGAATCACACGGGCGTATATAGCATTGAGTCACTCCCTTGACTTGACACACAGACTGTTGTCCAAGTCCCCCCACAGTTGTGGTGCATCGACACAATTGAAAACCAAGTCTCTTTGCGCATTTCATAGTGATAAAGCAATCCTGAGCGCCGCTATCGATGAGCGCTCTAACTTGATGGAACGTGCCACTAGAGTCCTGCACACGCATCATACACGTCCCGAGCAGCACCACGCACGGGCCACGAGCCTCTCCCACGAAAGCACTCGTGTTGGTGTGGGCGCTACTCGAACCGGTGGTCACCGCGGTCGGTGATCGAACTTGGTTGTCGATGTGTATCAGAGTGTGATGATTACCACTACATATAAAACATCTCATTTTTGAGACGCATTTATCAAGAGAATGTTTCCGTAAACAGATAATGCATAAATTATTTTGTTTGACAATATTTATTCTAGCACTGGTGTCCAAAGATTGAAACGTGGGGCACCTATAGATACTGTGCGCTGCGCCACAATAATAGCACTCTAGTGATGCCAGCTGCTTTGAAATAGTAGGCTTAGACTGAGTAGTGAGCACGGAACGTTTCAGGTTCGGTGCCCGCGGTGAAACATTCTTGATCTGTTTACCGCCTAAAAATTGAGAAGATCGCGCCCTAATGTCAACATTAGCATTTATTTCTAAAACTTTTACATTGTTTTAAAGAAACTGTATAAGACTGAAAAGAAGGAATTTCCGATTTATTTTCAGATTCGAAGCGGTGGCGCGTATCTGAGTCCAGTGCGCGAAACGCTGCGTTAAATAAAATAAAATCGACTAAGTCATCTAGCTCTAAGGCCTTAAGGGCATTGACTGACTCACAAAGAATATTAGTATATGTTTGTAAATCATTGAAATTAGGAGTTTTTAAATAAGGATAGTTATTTATTTGATCTAAATACGCCTCAGCTAAAATGCGCTTATTTTGATAACGCTTAATAAGTTCATTGAATACAAGCTCATAATTATCGGAAGTTAATTTTACCTTCTTTGCGATCCCTAAAGCTGATCCCGATAAACAAGAAATGAGATAGTGGTATTTAGTGATATCCGCGATTGATTTATTATTATGAATTAAGGTTATGAAAGTGTCGTAAAATGTTTGCCAATTCTCAATTTTTCCGTCGAACTTCAGAAACTCAATTTGTGGCAGTCTAGCTTGTATCTTTTCCGCGTCGGGCGTAAAGGTGTAGTTAACGTCAGCGGACGTTGGGCTGCTGCCTCGTTTGCGCTCCGGTAGGGACATTTACGTGGCAAAACTTAGAACTTCATAGTACATATCATTAAATGCAGACAACGGTTGCATATCTATTTTTTCTTTAGAAAACAGTGCCAGTTATCACGAATTCATTTTTACCGTAAGCAGCACATATTCATATCGAAAGTTCTCAATTTTAGAAATCTAGAGTCTTCCCGTATTTGTGTGGATAAATCGAAAAGAGTTTGAATAGAACGAAAAACATACTCTCGCTGTGACGTATAAAGTTTGAGTTTCATTTCTTCTTGCGATATGATTATAAAATAACTGCGAAAATTAAATATGAATGTTAAGTATAATTATTAACGACAGATATTTAAAACAATATTTATGTTTGTCAAAACTAAATTAACACTCAAGTACTGAATTTCATGTTAACTTTTTTTAACTATTTGAATTAGATAACAATTAAGAAACGAGCTAACATTCAAAGATATACCAGTATTTATACTTAAGTGCTTTATTCCAAGACCAATTTCATTTCCATAAACTGATCTAGTAATTTTTTCCAACAATAATTATAAAATACCCTCAAGTTATAATAATTTTCGAAGCGTAAGACTATAACATAACTTAGCAATTATAACGCAACCAAATAAGATAAGCCTGCAAAGTCTGAGCAATACGAAACATTTCACGAGCATTCAAGTCTAGCAGGATTATAATTGAAATGAATTAGTTATTTCCAATTATAAGAAAAATAAATTAAATATCAAAGTTTTCCTTAGAAATTGAACTTGATATTATATTAATAAGGAGCAGACTGCATAAAAATAGAAATCCATAGGTCGGCTCGAAGGACCAGAAATCATGTTACGGCTTGAATGTTTCGCAATGTTTTTCGTGGGTGGTTTTGGAAATCAGAGAATAACCAGGAAAGGGCTGGCTAACCCGAATGATCCCAACCAGGAAGTAAACGAAAATAGCTGTTTACGCCCAAACGCTGATTTCGGGATTGACGTCAGAGGGCGCTCGGCTCGGCGCCATACCGGTTTTGACGTTCAGTCGAGCGATGTGTCGAGGGCGCGCGAGCGCACGAACGAGTCGTCTGCCAGCTGTG